TTTAGTGCGTATTTGATAGTAAGGTTACACTTGACAAAAGCATATTCGTGAGATCTAACTCTTTATTAAATTTGACAAAAATACATTCTAAATATAGTTTAATATGCTTTTGAGTATTATCCAAACAAACCCTTAATATTCACTAAGATTATTATTATAATTTTACATAAAATATTATAATTTAAAATTGTTTAGATTATTAAATATTAAATCTAATCAATTAAAAGCTTCAATTTAATGGTAATCAAGGAAAAATGAGAGAAATTGAGAGTAAGAAAAAAGGATGCACCCATAGTTCATCTAAGATGCACTTCTTCTTGTCTAAAAAATGTACTTCAAAAAATAATATCAAAATAAGTTAATTTGAACTCTTTCAATCGATTGAATCAATTGACTCTCAATTTTTTCATCTATTATTATTTGTTGAGCTTTGATACTTAAATACTGACAATAGTTGTAATAATTAGTATTTTTAATATAGGATTGTTAAAATCAAAATTGATTAGATTCTATTGGAGATGTGCCTCGAGGTAATTTATTCAAGATTCAGTATAATATCTAATAAAAGTGAAGTACATATAAATATTCACTTCTCCAAGTCATTTTTTTTAGGTTAAGAAAATGAGAAGACCTAACTAGAATTTATTATTACATTTAAATCTAGCCAACGCCTAGAGTGTAGACTCATGAGAGCTTCCTCAAGTTGTCTGGTAGATGATCCAGGCCATGCACTCACATGTCCATGGCAATAGTAAAGGAATCCATGCAGTCAGCATTTTTATTTCCTTCACAATAGACATGATTAATCTTGACTTGCCACCCTCTATGTAGTGAAGAATAGATTTACCAAATCAGTATCTCATTAGCCTTCGTAGAAGTAGTATCTTGTGGCAAAAGAGACATTTAGCATATTGTTAACATCTAGCTTAACCTTTTTTGAAACTTTGCTCTCATGTCATATGTAAGCCATAACCCACAGTTCTATCCAAGGTGTGTAAAACCAAACAGATCATTAAACTGATTATGGTATTGGGTCATTGATTAGTGATTCAATTAGGGTTAAATCAGGGGTTGAACCGGTGGCAAACTGGTCATGATTAAAATAATACAACTTAAATAAAAAGACATTAATTATAAAAACATTCAACCAAATCCAACAACTCAAAAGTCTAACAATAATAAAATACAATACTTTAAATATCTATCCTTACAATTACAACTCTTTAATCTCAAAAGTATAGAGAAAAGATGGAGACAAAGCTAGAGAAGAGATAGAGATTAAGCTGATAAAAGACGGAGATAAAGCTGAAGAAGAGACAGAGAGTCAAAGACTAGGCTGGAGAAGAGATGGAGATAGCAGAGGCGAAGATAGAGTTGGAGAAGAGACAGAGACAGTAGAGATGGAAATGGAACTAAAGCTTGGAAAAGGGATGGAGGTTGAGCCAGAAAAGAAACATCGATTAAGTTAGGGCAAGAGAGGAGAGACACAAACAAAAGGCCCAATTGAATGCTGTTTGAAAATCTGGATTAGACTTAGCGTGCTCTGCCTCTAACTTTTCATTTTTTGACTTCAATTTCACTTTTTTTTGTTATCTTATTTCTAAACTTAGCACTTTAAAAATCAAAAAAGAAAAAAATCTCTCAAAACAATGTCGTTTTAGAAGTTTTGTCTGAAAAAATAATAACCCGTTAATCCAGTCAATCCACTGGATTATCCGGGTAACACTAGGTTGATGAGTTATATCAATTCATTCCCTCATTAATTTAAAAGTAAACTTAAACTAGACAAAAAATTGAGTCACCAATTTTTAGTTGATTTGGCCGATTCGGCCTGAATTTCAATGCCATGGTTCTACCAACAAAGCAGTGCACACAACAATGTTGCAACAGCATCCATGGATCAAAGAGCCAATGCTACTGCGTAGTAAATATCACGTACTTGCCTGACCATTGTAAGATGAACCTGTTACGGGCATCCCATAGTTTTCAACGAATAAACCCAAATGTAGAAGCCCAAGTAGATCTCATATTATTACCAATAGCACATCCTTGTAAATTGTGTAGCATCCACTTCTCAATGGCTAGTCATTAGGCCACCCGCACTCTTTAGGTGCTTTCATGCTTCCAGATCAGCTATCATTTAATGTCTTACAAATTAAAATCCACCTCCATGATTAGCCATACGCATGTTTCACAAAAATTGCCCATTAGATTTTCTATTCTAGAAACGCTCAGCTTCCCTATTAAGGATCTAAGTACCTCCATAAATTTCTCTGCACCGCTAATTTTCTGCCGTTGACATCATTATCTTAATTCAAACATAGTTGAAATTAAATTAGATTAAAATGTATTAAACGTAAAAATATGCGATCATTATATTACAAGATAGATGGTACTGGTATTTAATAATAATTTAATTTAATTCATAATTTTTACAACTTATGGCAGATGTTCCGGATCTATCTCAATCATCACGCCAATCTTCCCTGGTCAAGTGCCTCTTTATATTCCTTTTGGGTTATTGTCCATCGATAGTTTACCGCATTATGATATAAAACATATTCCAAAAATTTTACCTGATTTAAAATATAAGATATTAAATAATTTTTATAGTTATTTTTTAACTATATCCTTCCTTCATCTATTATTTTTTTTGAAAAAATTGTGTATTAACATTTTAATTATTGTTTTCAAAACTCTTATATAGAATATTTAATAAGAGTATAGATAGAAAGATGTAGACATTTTTTAAAATTTAAAATTTCAACTAATATTGTATATAAAATATGAATTAGCTAGCTATTATAGTTTGGAGGGGGTGGTTTATTAGTTTCTTGTAGTTCCTTTTCACTTTATTAGTTCATTTTAAAAAAGGTTAATGTATAATTTTGCTCCTAAATTATTTCTAAAGGAGCAATGAAGTTAATGAATGTTTATCATTTTTTAATTATGGGGGTAATATTGATTTGATTTAATTAGTTTAGGAGGATATTGCTACAATTATAGTTTAAAAGCAATATTGTTACTCTGATAATAGTTTAAGGGTAAGATTATACCTTAATTCTTTTAAAAGTACTAATAACTATAGCTATTGAAATTTTAATATAAAATATTATATTTATAAACTATGATGAATAGCAACTTGTGGTGCGTTTTTTATTTGTTAAGTTTGATGCAAGACACAAGGTTGGCAAAATTTACAAGTTTATAATTTCGTCGGGATAAATAATTGAGGCGAGATACTTATCTAACGAAACATGCATGTTAAAAATAAACAATCAACCTTGTCGATTCTAAATTACTTAAAACTTTTTTTTCTACGAGGACTGAACAACTTAAAACTTGAAAGCAGCCGTCTATTGTTTTCGTTATTATTGAAATAAAAAACTTCATTGTTGATATTAGATTAAATAAATGAATTGAAGAAATTAATCAAAGGTCTTGTAAAACAGTCAAGCGAGTTTGTATCAATCTCAATGATACAGCGCCAGGCTGTTTTAGTTTTTATCACTTAAATAGAAATGTGTAATTTATTTTGTTTGTTTTTATTTTAGTATTAGAAATTTTTAAGTTTAGACTTATTTTGTAATTTAAAAAAAAAAATCTCAATGATACAGAACTTGAGGCAGCCTGGTTGGAACATTGTCATTATCATAAATCGTCTCAGAATTCCATAAATCTGATTCAGCAGCTTTGGATCCACGTGCCCCCACCTTGCGTGGTCAGCTTTTTTAAGTTATCCAAATCCAAATGCATCTTTTTCACAGGAGACAACTGCATTCAAATTATCAGGAAAACATTAAATATTAAATGTGAATATTTTTTTAAGCAAAATTTAAATCTCGATCCATCGAAATTAATCTCTTTCATTAAATTCAATTCCATTGATTTGTCAGCTTTTAATTTGAGGTAGCACTTAAAATTAGGTTAACAGATTCAAATTTATATTTTACATTTAAAATCTCAAATTCAAAACTTATATAAATAAAATATTTTACTTGAATGATATAAAAAATTTCTCATTAATAAGAACGAATTATCATACCTATATAACTTGTCCCCTTGTTTGAATAAGAGTTTATTAAAAAATGATTACTCGGAATTAAATTAATTGACTAGGGTAGATTTGGTACTTGGAATTCTACCATAATTGTAATTTTTTTTTTAAATTTGAATCAAATCTAATTTATAAAATTTAAATTCACGGGGTAGAAGATTTTTTTTTTGTTAGGACTGCATCAATTTCAACAAACATCACAAAAGAATTACATAAATTTTTTCAATATTTATAAACATACACGAATAAACAATTATTCTATAGTTTAGTTGAATTAAACAAAAAACGTGGGGACATTTCAAGTAAAAGTTTCAAAACCTTCATACGCGTGAGATCATGCACATATCAAATCAATAACATACTGCGGTTCACAATAACATAAAATAAAATATTGCAATATTCACAGTACATGAGCCTACTAATTTATCGGACTCTAAATGGGTCGTAGGATTCATGTAGTTAAATCAAACGAAGTAAAAAAAAAAATGGTAGTTAAATCAAATTACAAGGAAATTTTACACTTTGGTGTCTTTGCCTCTACGGATATTTTACGCTTTGGTACTTTGAAAATCTTTTTAGGTAAGTTAACTTCCACACAATTTATGTTTAGATATTTTTTTTAAAAAAGCTCGTCAGTGAAGCTTAAAAGTATTGGAAAAGTCAATTTTAAAAAATGTAAGTGGGAGTTGCTTTTACGGTTTTAAAAGCCAGTTCAGCAAATGTATTTCTGCCTTTTACTTTTGCTCCTTATTTTTATTTAAAAATTAAATGATAAATTTGTCTTAAAAATTTTTTACTAAATGCACTCAATATCTTAAACTTTTTGCTAGAACAATATTATTCTTTAATTTAAAAAAATGATGCAATCTCATACTACTGTTAATTCGTTTGTCCGTCGATCGTTGCTTTGAGTGGGATTCACGTGGACCAAGACTTCAATGCCTAAAGAATCTCATCATCTACATCATCCTTCACCACTTTGAAAAGACTCTCCCACTTCACACATTTATGGCTTCCTCTCACCCTTCCATCCTCTAGCGCCCTCATGGTCCACGATCATGGTCGTCGTCTCCAAGCCAACCCAATCTCCCTCGCTTAGATGGGTTTCACTTGTTTTGCTCTCAACCTTCAAGGTCATGGAGGATCTTAAGGCCTTTGTTCCTAACATTGATATCATCGTCCAAGACTGCCTCTCCTTTAGATCCATTAAGCAGACCCCAACTTTTAGGGCTTGCTTCATTCCCTCTACATTAGTGGTGGCACGATATGCCTTCTCATTAATTTCTCTGACCTAAAAGGAATTTTCCTTTATCGTAAAGTTGAGTCTCTCTCTGACCCCCCCTCTTGATTGTTTTCCCTTTTTGCAATTTTGCCGATGCAAGAAACAGAGCTCTATGATTTGTCTAATGATGTCGCATCGCAATAACATGTAATCACGTTGCCAATTTAGCTCCGAATGCATTGCTTTGCTCCATGGAATCGCATTCAATCAAGTTCAGGTGATTTGGTTGAATTCATTCGAATCTACGTTTTTTTATGGATTATGACAAATTTAACAAAGTTAAGGAATTTTGGCAATTTTATTGACCTAGAATTGGCCACATCTAGCAATTTATTCGATTTAGATCCTTCCTCTCGTACAAGTCCGTGAAAGTAGATAGCGAAGGTGAGAGTGGGAAAAGGGTTGCACCCATCTGGTGCCACAGATTATGATTATGCGGGTGGTGCTTGTACTGAAGGCTCGTTCAAGAAGCTTAAATTCAGGTTTTGTAGTTCTGTAAATTCATTCTCAAAATAATTAATTTCATAGTTATGGTAGATACTGTTGCTGTTGTTGCTTTGGCGTTTTTGTTAATGAGGAGGATTCTTTTTTATCTTCATTTTCTTCTTTGCTTTGACTAATGTCGTTGATGATGTTAGCATCTTTGATGAATTTCAAGGTTGAGTTATCAAGTTCAAGACTTAAAACGAAAAAAAAAAAAAAACAGAGGAACGTGAAGCTTGACAGAAGATGGAGTTGAGTTCAAGCATGGAGAAGACAAATTCCACTCATTGATATCCATAAATGCAAGATTGTTTTCACACGAGAGTCCAACTCAGCTTGTCACGCATGTGTCTAATGGTCAAAGTTATTGATTTAACAGTCAACAATGGTATGAGTTAACTGCAGGACAGAATGGTACCCTTCTTAAAAAATTGAAGAAAGATATTGTTTAAATAAAAAATTTAAAATATTAGGTGCTCTTATTAAATAAATTTTAAGATAAATTTATTCCTTAATCCTTTATTTAATTCTAATGTAGTCTCTTTATTTTACCAATATTTTTATTTTTTTGCCTACCGCTTCATCTTTCAGTTAGAATTCAATTATAAAATAATGTGATATTTTCCTTAAAAAACGGGTGTTTTAATTATTCCTATATAATTAAATAAGAATCCAAGTCAGCCAGAGGCCTTCGGGCTCAAATAATTGATGAGCAGCAAAAATAGTTTCTATTGGATACTTTTGAGATATCAAAGAGTGCGAAAGAGTGATTTAGAATACATTATGTTAACCACCGAATCCAAAGTAGCATATTCAAAATATTGACATAAAGTAGATTTCAAATTTCATGTCAACTTGCGGAGGACTTAATGGAGATAATGATGACAATTGGCAAGCGAGGGGTGAGCTTAACAGTCAACGCGACCGGCAAAAATTATGCTAATAAATTGTACATCTTGTCCGGGTTCACAGAGTGCCTTTATTATTATATTATATAGCGATTAGATAATTAATTAGTTGATTTGTTTTTTGTTTGTGGCCTGAAAATTTAACATCGTTGGATGACGAATCACGTCGAAACACTTTCGAAGCATAAGCATGTCAGGTCAAAGAAAAAGACGAACGACGTGACATGGCGAGGGTCCGGCTCCGGCTTCCATAATCCATAATGCTATTTTTATAACATTACTCTCTTTATTTAAAAATTTAAAATTAAAAAATATAAAATATTTTTAATTTTTTAAGAAGTAATTATTATTTTTTTAAAAATACTTTTATCAATAATAATTTTATATTTATTATAAGATATTTAATAGAGATAAATAAAAAAAGATAAAATTAATTAAAAAAATAAGTAACTATTTTATATGAAAATAAAATTTAATTAAAAATATTTTATACTTTTAAATGAAAGAAATAAATGTTTTCATGTAGGAGGTAATTTTATTCTAGACGGGAGGATATTAAAAGTTAATACCTTATGGGAATTTGAAATTAGTTTATTAGCTAATTTCATTTCATTAAATATAAAATAGAAAAAATTAATGTGCAGGTTCTTATTATTTTTCTTGATTTTAAATTGAGTTCCTGTTATTTATTTCGTTTTTATCAATGAAGGCCTTATTATTTGATAGGTTACTAAATATTTTAGTTTTTCAAGGTTAAAATTATTAATAAATCATTAATTTTTCTAAAAGAAAAATGATTTTAAAATTTATATAAATATTGATTTAACACTTATGGCCAAGAAAGAAAAAAATAAAACACGATCTAATGCAATGATTTTTATTTTTATTAAATTTTTTATAAAAATTTTATATGTATAAAAAATTATTTAGAAGACATGATTTAATTATATAATTTTTTTAGTTGTACAAATCATGTAATCAATTTTAACGTTTACAATCTTTTAATGAGAATATAAAAGTTTCAATTTTTTTTTAAGTAAAAATTGAAGAATTTTAACCGGATTAACATATTTAGAGCCCATTTATTTTGCCCTATTTTTTTTTAAAAAATCCATTTCATGAGTTTTAGTTATGTTTATTTAAACCTTTAAAAATAATTAAAATTTGAAAAATATAAATAAAATTAATTATGTTTTTTTTAAATTTTTGAAAATAATTCATTTGTGTAAGAAACTATTTTGTGTAGCTTTTAAAAATAATTTAATACAAAAAGAATATCCTGAAAAGGTGGGACATGCAAACATATCATGAAATTTAAAATAATTAAGTAATAAATTATATCTATAAAATAAAAATAAAAAAGATATAATAAAATTTAAAAATAACTAATTAATAATTATTTTTTATTATTGTAATCAAACATAAAATAATGTCTGCTTTTTATAAAAAAAATTTACTATCTAATTTTTTTAATCTTAAATAAATGGGCCTTCAATTGATTAAATTATAAGAACTTGATCTAAACAGATTAAATTACACAGACTTAATTTAAAGTTGAAAAAAATTAGAAGGGATTGCAAGTTAAATTTTTCTATGAAATATACAGAGTTGATGGCTTAATGGAAAATCCCATAATGGAACCTGCATCGTGGGTTGATTGTTATTATTATTTTCTTTTTAACATGGCTATCCAATAGTTAGATTTAATTATTGTCAGGGTTACTCTGTCAAATGTATTTCTTGTATTCACACTAACTGAAACTCAATGATTTCATATTTAGAACTTGCTTGGAAAATGTTAAAAAGTACATTTAAATTATATCTAGAGCATACTTTTACCAAACTCAATAAATAATTGGATTTCTCAAATAAACTTTTATCATATGTCAAATAAACTCTCGTCATGTGTACTATAATGGAGGCCCCGTTGGCAGGTTGAAATGATTCGAGGTGGTGTGGGCCTCTTTTTCTTGAATCAAACTCGCTTTATGGGCTCCACCCCCCAACCCCCACTTCTTTGTCAAATATCTAAGATGAATGTATTGTATAGTATCCAAGCCCTTTTTGTTTTGGGTCAAAGAATCCAAACAACGTTAGTTTTCAAGTGGACAGATGGGGTTTTTGCTTCATGGGCTCGCCCCCCCCCCAAAAAAAAACCACATAGATAAATAGGGAATTAGGAATTTAAATTAGGAAATTGGATAACACATTGGCAATAAATAATCAAATCGATGATTAAGCAAGCAATGGAATTCCTTCATTTAGTCAGGATGAGCTGATTGTGAGCTCTTCACATGAAGTCCAGTGCCAGTCATACTGTGTCTTCAAAAACACTGGTTTATCACTCATATTTTGTACGGGTTGTTATTTTTAAAAATATATTTTAAATGTTAAATAACAAAATCAATACATATTAAATATTTACAACAGCAAGAAATAACTACTTGATTTATCAATAATACGTGATAAGTCATCACAATAAACCCATGCTCACCAATCAAAATAAAATTGATTGGGATTATATACTTTAAAACAACATTTTTCACAATTGTTTCACACTTTTTACACATTGTGCGTGTGTTTTTCAAACTTGCCATTATATTTTGACATTGATGATATTGATTAATGATTGATATCTAAAATAAATATACTAATTTGATATGAGTAGCATAATGTCTCTTTTTTTATATTTTAAAAATATATATATTATATTATATTATATTATATATAAAGACTTGAGTCCACATAAACATTGAATGAATTATATTGTTTGTACTTTATGGAAAATGCAACTTTATGTAAGTTTCAATTTATGTGTTATTAGTTATTCATTATTATCATTAAGTCATCAAACTAGCGAGTCTAATTAAGCTCGTGGTGAGAATGAAAATTTGAATTGCAAACTTATAAAAGTTTATGTTTATTAATAAATAGTCATTAAAAATACATAATTAAATAATTAAAATATAAATATAATTAAAATTTGATTTAAGTATATTTTAGATATAAATAATTGAAATTAAGTCTATATATATTAATATACTATTACAAAAAATATGAAAATTTAAAATAAGGCAATTTAATTTTTTTTATTTCTTTTTCATTAATGTTAATTTTTGCTCTTTAAATTTTATTTTTCTTTGATCTGGGTCCTCACACTTCTAAGAACCAGTAGGGCCCATTTGGTTTTTACATTTGTCATTTAAAAAGTCCTTTCAAAATATAATTTAAATGTAAATATTGTTTAGTTTTATTTTCAAGAACTTTGAAAATGATCTTGACAAATATAAACAATAATCTTAGAAGTCTTTTTTTAAATGTAACTATAACTTACTTTTGTTTTTTCACGTTTTGGGAGTGGGTGCCTTTACCAAAAAAAAAAAAAGAAGATATTTTTAACTACCCAATTTTTCCATAATCCCCTCATGTGCACGGTTGCAATATTTACATTTATATTTTTATTATATTTATATTAACTCTAATATTTATGCTAGATATCAAAATGAGCATTATAAATTAAATAATTAATTATATTAATATTTAGTATTAATCTATATTAGATTATCATATATATTTTATTTAAATTATATTAATTTTTAATATTAATATATGCTGAACTATTTATTATATAAAATTTTTCATCATATCAAAGTTTATATTTTTTATCATTTAACACATCAAATTTTATATTATTTAAAATTTTATCACATTTTTTAATCATTTTAATATACTATATTTGTATAATAAAAATTATAAATCATCGTAAATTAATATTTTTATGATAATTGTACATTTAAAAGTACATTTTATTACCATAATTCAAATAACTTTTAATTTATTAAACTAAATTTTAAAAAAATGTATTTAAACACAACTTTCATTATAACAATTGACTTTCATTACACTGACTTTTGCTAAATGAACTTTTAATAAATAAATTTTGATAACCTGAACTAAACATATATATAATATATACTTAGTTTATTCAACTTAATAAAAAGTCAACAAGCTCAACGAGTTTAATTGAATTTACATTTAGCCTGAGTTTATAAATAAACTAACATAATTTTATAAATTAAAAATATAAAAATAATAAATATGGACATTAATTTATAAGTCTAATTGAACTTATATTTAGTTTAATTTTACAAGTTATTTGTCATAATTTTATAAATTAAAAAATATAAAAATAATAAGCTCATAAAATTAATATGAGAATTTAACAATAATCATCATCATCATCAATATGTTGAATCATTGATAAATGATAACGTGATTTGTGGCACATTGGCACATACTCTGGCATTATAACATAAATTAGTTATTGGCGAAAAGAAAAAACAAATTAATTTACCAACCGGGACAGGATACAGCTGTTTTTTTCTTCTCTCTACCTCTCTTCCTTGTTCCCCCTTTTCCCATGATTCCACGTTACTCAATCCAAGATCTCCTGTGCAATCTCGATTCTCCACTCTGCCTTCATTTTCCCTCTCGAAAATCAATGGTCCATCCTTGGCAATCTGTCACCAAATCGACGAGTTAGGGTTTCTGTTGGGTTCAGTTTTTGTGGGGACTTCTGGGGACACTACATCTCCGTCAGCCATGGCCACCAACTTGCAGATGAGCCCTCAGTTGGAGCAGATCCATGGTGAAATTCGCGACCACTTCCGAGCCCTCGCGTATGTATTTCAATAAATTCACTCTTTCTTCTCATATTTGATCGCGGAGTCCGCTTATATTTCTGTGCCACGTTACTGATTTTCTCCAAGTCTTCATATAATGTAAGGTGGTATCCCTTGTGGTGAATGCTTCTTAGATATCAACGTTATTGTCACATATATGGTTATAATTGGTCTCGATGTGATGAATGCTTAAACAGGGGCACTTGCCGTTGAAATACCCGATAAATATTTTGTGCCTCTATCAGTTCTGGTATTATGCTAACATCTTATTAAGTTCATCTTTTTAATCCCCAAGCATCTTCCGACTTAGTGTATAGCAGTATTTTGGCCACGAAACTAGTCGCAGTTCGAAAATTTAGGTGCTTTTCATTTCTAAAGCCAAGTAATTAGCCAGTTTCCCACCAACTGCAATGGAAGTGCCTTATTATGCCCACAAATTTTGATATGCCTTATTTTTATTCATTGTGGTAATGGCATGGGATAATAGGAGTAATTGATATGCCTACTTCTGGAGATTTTGGATATCACTAGTAGAAGAGACTAAAGTACAACAGCTCTGACCACTAGTTGCTTGTTACTTATTAGCTTGCTACACTTTAAAGCCTAACTTCTGATCTCGATTTTTGTTGGGTAAAATTCAAACCTGAAGGATCATCTGTCTTAGATGTTAGCATTTATAACCTTTTTTGTCCCCTCAAAGGAAGCTTTTTCATTAAGGATTTGACCAGTTGTCAGATCCAATTTTTTTTGGACAAAAAGCCTACTGTAATCTATTTGAGTAAATATTGATGGAATTATGTACTAAATAATTTTTGTGACGTCATATTTTTGGGTTCAAGGTCAAAATTCCAAGGAGTTTGTGTTTAGATAGCACATAAATTTGCTTTTATGAGCTATTTGCTGATGAAAAATGCATGCAACCATGCAATGGATCTTGTAGCTGCTTGCTTCTTGCTAGTTTAGGTGTGTTACAACTGGCCCCCCCCCCCCCCAAAAAAAAAACCCAAAAAAAAAAAAGTTCATGTTGGGATACTTGCTGGAATATTTTCCTACTTGTGACCTTGCTCACACCACTACTTTCAACTTATTAGTCACTTCTTTTTCCCCATGTTCTCTGCCAGCTGCCCGGTCATTTAAATTGACTCAAGACTTGAAATACATTCTTACCCTTTTTTGTACTTTTTCGTCATTAGACTTGTATAAATGATTAAGTTGGATTAGACCTAGAGCATTGTAATAGTAACAGAGATAAATCTCTTGTATTAATTTCCACAAGTCCCTGAATCTAATTTTTTTAGTGCATTTTTGCACCTTTCATGTGTACAATGTTACACTTATTATTTTGGTATGACCTTTTTTTTTTTTAAATATACTTCGCTTTTATTTTGCTTATGTTATTTTCATCTTTACCGGTTGTTGTTTTCATGATTAACATGTTTTTAATGCCCATCCTCTAGGAATTAGTAGATACACTTCTTGAATGTAAGCAAATTTATTGAATCATATATTTGCTATTTGCGTTTAACACTCTGACCTTTTGGGGACCAGAAATGGCTTCCAGAAGCTTGATAAGATTAAAGATTCCAATAGACAAAGTAAACAGCTGGAAGAACTCACAGTGAAAATGAGGGAATGCAAAAGGTAAGCCACGCATTTACTAATTTTGATGTCTCTTGTTTGCTACTTGAGCTCAAGCTGAATAAGGAAAATTCAGATTTTACATGACATGAGCTTCTTTCGAAGCCCTCCTAGGCTTGTATCGTGTAAATTATTTGTTTGTTACTTATTAACTATGATAATGTAATAGTTTTTCTTATTATATTAACATATATCTTGTGGTAAAATTCCTGTTGTTTTGGTTGATGGCGATGCAGCCACTGCACAGCCTCTCTATTGAGAGAAATTCTTATATATCCTTGAGTTTTGCCTACTTCTATTCTCTAATAAAAAACAGAGTCACATCAAATGGAGCTTTTATTTCTCTCCATACTTTTGTAATTTCTTTCATCAGCTGATTACCCATATTTCTCTCCATGAATATATTCCATTAATTGCTAAAGGGTCCCATAGTTTATATGTTGCAAAATTATTTCTGGAAAAATGGAGTGTAATTGGGCTTCATGGAGAGTGACTTGGTGTATTTTATAGTATAAATGATGTGACACTCTTGGAGGATATCAGAATTTCTCCATGTAGAAATATTTTATTTGATTCAGTGATACCTTACATCACGCTGTGGAGTTTGTGCTTTCCAGACTTCTGAGTGAGGCAGAAGTGGTTTACTATTCTACATGTGCCAGTGGCAAAGCGAATAAAATTCTTTGTGGTTCAGACATATTTTGCAGTATCCTTTGGCATGCATACTGTGATTCACTAAACATGAAGCCTTATTTTGTAATTTGGTCCAGGTTGATAAAAGAGTTTGATCGTGAAATTAAAGATGAAGAGGGCAGAAATCCTCCAGAAGTGAACAGGCAACTAAATGATGAAAAGCAATCAATGGTCAATACTGAGCTTTCTTTTTTATTTTCATTCTGTTTTGCTTATGCCAGGAATCTACCCCTGCAAACATTGGGAAGCATGCAAGATTTTCCATGAATTGTGCATAGACCATCAAGTTCATTTTCTTTTCAACTTTTGACATTCTAAGAAAATTGTGGTTCACTGGGTCTCAGGCTTTTTTTTTAGTAACTATTTTCAAGGGGAAAAATATCAAATATATTGCAGAATTCATGGGCACATAAGTTTTTATGGAACTAAAATTGTGAGATTTTTTTTTAAGTTTTATAATGCATGGGCAATGCAGAACTGCAGAGGACACTCTGATTTTTTTTTTTTTTTGTTAGGTCTAATAACCATTCTTGTATGTTTTATAAGGTTTTTATGCCTGATTTTGCAGAATCATATGGAGTTTGTCGGATTGAATTTGGAAAATAAAAGTGATTTAGAACATAAATATTCTGTTTGATTTTTTGTTAGTATAAGACTTTCCCCTTAGGGATTTCTTAATGTATAAAGCTGTTATTATTCATAAATGTGCTCCTCTATTGGATATTTAACTCTTGAAAATGTTGGATAAGTTAGAGATGTTTTCTTTGATCAATGTTTTTTTTTTTCCTTGGAAAAAAATGGATCATGGAATGTAGGGTAGCACTTATAGTTGCTAAAGGTGAGTGAGTTCTGACTGAATGTATCATTGTATCCTTATATACCAATAAAACTAGAATGTATATGATGTCTTATGCTGAACAATTAATTGTAAGATGTTTGGTATAAGGACATCATCACCTGTCTCTTGCTTGGTCCTCTGTACACTCTGTTTGGTTCAGGGGTAGGGGTGGGGAGAAAAAAATAATTATGTTATGGACAACTATGTCCTTATCAAATTTCCTCCTATCTTTTATAACTAGTTAATAAAATATATATGTGAAGTTTAAAAAAATACATGAAAACATAATGTGAGCTAAATAATAATCGCAATATATATGTCAAGTCATCAAGGTAGATTAAGATAAATAAATGAGAGAAACAAATCAAAAGACACAATGAAATTACTGGCAGGGAAGTATATCCAGTATCCTTGAAGATATTCCAATTCTCAGGACCCATTCATTTCCATTTAGCGAGGTTAACTTCCTACATAAACCAAGAGACTATGTCAATGTTAACTTCCTACATAAACAAGCAATGATTAGCATTATAGCAAGTCAAAATGCCAGGTAGGAAAGAGAACAATCGTTTGGAGGAATTGGATTTTTTTAATGTTAAAATGACTAAGCAGTGAATTGCTGGGATTCAAAATGTAAGCAGAGTGGAGAATGAGCATTTGAGCAATGTAGGCAAGTTCAGAGCTTTCAAGTCCGTGCCCCTACCTTTCAACTACTATCTACAACAAAGCTGAAGACAAGGAGGGCTTATTCGAATTCAGATATTCCATCAACATAGAAATATGTGGGCTGCGACAGCAACAAGGGTGGCAACATGGGTGGCGACAGGGATGACAGACACTGTGCAGGTCATAGTTGGGGATGGCGTGAGAGAAAAATAGGCTCAGGATGATCGAAAATGAAGTTAGGTTTTATTTGGAGAGGGGTATTTTTGGATTATCAAAATGTGACGTGGGTAAATTAATCAAATACAACAAAATTATATCCCTCCCCTCCATAGGCCCCCATTTTGGAGGGGAGGGGAGGGGAGGGGAGGGAAAATGTTAAGAAAATTTTCCCTCCCTTCCCTTTCATTCTAACTACCCTAACAAGGGGAGGGGACCAAAATCCGTCCTCTTGCCCTGAACCAAACTGGGGGGCAGTCCCAGTGTGACCTGTCTTAGAACTTTAGCAGTGACTAAATTCCAAAACTATAGTGATAGCTAGTCTGTCTTGGTTATTTATATATTTCTACTATTTCTATTTATCAGTTGTTTGGTTTTTGAAAAGACTGCCACTCAAAATCTTTCAGTCTTTTGTTACTTTTTATTTGAAAAAGCATGCCTATTTCTGCCTTGTGACTTATGGAAATGATTTTGATGTAATTGGCATTAGGTCCGGTGATTCTTGATATATTTTTGTATGCATATGCTTGCACACTAACAGCCTAGTCATTTTTTTTCTTTCATTTTTCTTGCAGATCAAGGAGCTAAACTCTTATGTGGGTTTGAGAAAAACGTAAGTTTACCATCTCGGACACAAATACTGAATAAAATTTATTCTTATGAATGTATTTGAACAACTCCCATGTTTAATACTGATCTTTCATGTTAGAATTCTTTGCTGTCAAAATCATAGTATTTCTATACTAGTATACGTGGTTTTGTAAGATTTTGGTCTCATTCATACTCTATATCATATATCATATATCAACAAATTTAAACAACTAAGATAACTGTCAAGATAAATATTCAAATGACTTAGTTGCTTTGAAAGTTTTAAATGCCATCTTTTTCTATTTTTAAAATAGGAAAATTAAGTATTTTGGATGATCTAGAGGGATAACTGTGGTACATAAAGGAATAGTGAGTATCTTATATGGCGAGATTGCAGGGTAGTTATGAAGAAGGTTAGCAGTGGTTGATGAGGGGGTTGTCAAAATAATGTTTAGTTATTAGATGTGTAGTCTTTATGTAAATAAAGCCGGGAATCCTAGGGGACTATACATCAATATAGATACAAAGATAACTGAATGACTAGTAATAGGTAGTGGGTAATTATTTGATGATTCATGGTGCCTCCATTGTCTAGTTAAATGAATAGGGGGTAGTTAGTTATTTGAAAATTTGCGACTTTTTAGTATCCCATTTTCTTTAAAATAAAAATGAAGCTGGATGATAAATTCCGTTGCCTCATCTATAAAATAATGTGCATGTTTCTAGATTTGTGCATTTCGTCAATTTGAAAAATAAAATGTTCCTTCAATATCAAATTTTCCTAGTTGCACGCTGTCAAAATTACAACGAATTAGACATGGGACCCATGCATCGCACAAAGTATGAGTCATACTGTTCATAACTTACAAATAGGGTGGTATCGTCTGTGTGTTAATTTTGATTTTGCTTGGAGAATGAAGTTTACAGAATTAACTTAATGGTATAATCTGTTCCCAAAATTAAAATTGAAGAAAATGCGATTGAAGGATTTATGCTATTTTTGGATTATTGACAGGTACATGAATACCATTGGTAATAAGAAGCTTGAACTCTTTGACATGGGAGCTGGATCTAGTGAACCTACAGCTGAAGAAAATGTTCAAATGGCATCAAGTAAGATGTTACCCTTAATGTTAATGCAATTGTGTCTCTGCTTCCAAACTGTGTGCTATGCTATATGTTCTGGTTAATTTTGACGATCTTGTGGGAGCAACAGTTTGGTTTTGGTTGGCAACTGAAATTTTATGAAGGCTTGTTTGAGGGAAATTAAGTTTAAAGGTCATACATCTGATTTGACAAAAATCACAGCAGATACTGAAGAGATAATGGCAGTATGGTGCTATATAATTTGGAACTCATTTCACTGTAGGTCTGTGTGTTTGGTGTTGTTACTTGTACCCCTCAAGCATTGACATATCAGGCACTAATTTTTTCTTTTTTCTTTCTAGGCATCCTCCTTGGGGTTCTTAATTGAGGCTTCTCTGCATGTTTTATGCTTGCGTGGCAATTGGTATAAATATATCTTGTTACAATCTTTGGTTGGTTTGTCCTGTAGCTATGTCAAATCAAGAACTTGTTGATGCTGGGATGAAGAGAATGGATGAGACTGATCAGGCGATTGAACGATCCAAACAGGTGAGTCACTTTTTATTGATACGTCTCTGTTGCTCATATATACGTTGGTTCTGAACTCTGTTGAATTGTAGGTTGTACATCAAACGATTGAGGTGGGCACCCAAACTGCCTCTACCTTGAAGGGCCAAGTAAGTTTGATTTGCACTGAGTACTTTGATAAGAAAGAGTCTACATGATGGGTCGCATAATCTGACCCTATAATCCCCCTTCCCAAATTATTGCAGACTGATCAAATGGGCCGCATTGTGAATGATCTGGATTCAATTCAGTTCTCTATTAAGAAGGCCTCCCAGCTCGTGAAAGAAATTGGTAGACAGGTTGCTTGATTCTTATTACTTCTTGCAATACATATTATGCGATGTAAAGGTTCCTTTATACTAGTTTCGTGATGCTTACGTGTTTTCATGCTATTTACCAGGTGGCTACAGATAAGTGCATCATGCTATTTTGTTCCTTATCGTCTGTGGTGTTATAGCCATTATGTTGTGAAGGTATCTTTCTTTCATAAGTTTAGTTTAAGAAATCCTAGCCTGAAGTTCTCTTTTTCTCAAGTAAAGTAACCTGGATATATTTCTCAAATAATATATTATTTGGTGAAACTAGGATAAAATACTGTAAAAATTGGTTTGAAAAAAGTATTATTTACGAAACTTTCTAGGGATAAAACTTCTCTTGTACTTCTTGGTACATTTGCCAACTTTATTTGGTCCTCCACAAATCGTTTCTTTCAATGTAGTCTCCGAAAATGTTTTCATTGTTGTTCATCTTTCCCATTTCCATCGAAAATTCAATGCCAACTGAACAGTGTGTTGAATTCTGTATGAGCAAGGGAAATAAGGGCAACTTTGTTGGCATTTTAATGATTGAGAGGCTAAATTGAAAGAAGTAATCTGTGACTGAATTGAAAATTTACCTATTTTGTCAGGGTCCACAATGAGTTTCATCTATAAACTATCTGTTCAATTAATCCCAAATTCAAACGCGTGAGATATGTTTGTGTATGTTGCCTTTCCTTGGATTTTCAATTATGCTTGTGTTTTAATTGGCACTGCTCTTTCTCAGATTGTGAATCCCAGCAACAAGAACATTAGGGACATCCCTGGGTTGGCGCCACCAGTTCCCTCTAGGAGGCTTTTGTACGCAAGGACTGGACAACATATTGATTATTTTTATTTTGATGGGCTTTCTCTGTCCTACCATGCTGACTCCTATTCTCAGTTATAACGATGAGGGATGCTGCTGTTTGGGGGATTTAGTTGTATCATTTGATTTTGTTTTTTTCCCTTGCTGAGTTCTTGTCCTGTCTGTGATTTATTTGTAAATCACGCGAGCTCCTTTTTGCTTTCGTTGCCCGTTGCTTCTTCATGTAACCCGCCAAAAAATGTTCAGGGCTTAGACAGAATTTCTCGCTGTACATGCCCTTTTCAA